AAGTCTGTCCAGGGAAATTTCTGTCAGCCATCTCTTCCATCTCTGCACAGGGAGGACGACACACTGGACCATGCCGCAAAGGAGAAAGGCGATCTGCTAGGCTCTTTCTTTGCGTCCAACTCGACTCACGACCCGGTGTGAGTGCTCCATGCCGGAGGTGCGGTTTACACAGCGCTCGGTTCGCAAAGCACTCTTCTCCCTGGACGTCCGCAAGTCGAGTGGGCCTGACGGTATCCCCCCAATTGTGCTGAGGACGTGTGCTCCAAAGTTGGCACCGATCTTAACGCGTCTTTTCCGGTACTCCTACTTTCTAGGCGTAGTCCCAAAATCATGGAAGACGGCTTTCGTCCACCCGATCCCTAAAAAAGGCGACCGCTCAGACCCGTCCAACTACAGGCTCATCGCCATCACCTCTTTGTTTTCCAAAACAATGGAATCCATTGTAAACCGCAAGCTCATGAGGTACCTTGAGAATCACCAGCTGATTAGTGATCGCCAATACGGTTTTCGTCGTGCTAGATCAGCTAATGAACCTCTGGTCTACCTAACTCATAGATGGGCGGCGGCAGTAGAGTCCAAGGGGGGAGGCATTGGCCGTTCGTTTGGACATTGCGAAGGCCTTCAATCGGGTTTGCCACAAAGCGCTTCTCTCGAAGCTCCCTTCCTATGGGCTTCCCGAAAAATTGTGCAATTGGATCACCAGCTTTCTTGCAGATCGGAGCATCAAAGTCGCTGTAGACGGTGCAAGCTCCGATTACAATCATATTGTTGCGCGCCGAAGTTGACGTCTGGCACTAGCGCCATATAGTGTCAGGTAACAGAGCGAGGAGAGCTTTCCAGAAAATGACATGACTAATCTTTCAACCAACAGCGCCATCTAGTATCGAATTGAAGAACTAAGCTTTCTAGAAGTCCGACACTCGAACTTTCTGCGTCTGGTCGGTCGGCGCCCGTATCTACGGAAATATTCTGGATGTTTCGGTGTAAACGTGAATTTAAACCCGCTGCATGCCACGATCGGGGCAGTATTGAATTTTGCGAGAAAAGCGAAGCTTCGGAGCGAAATAAAGTGAATCAGTGTGATTAATTATTAGTGTTTTTAAGTTTTAATTGGTGTTCGGTGTTAAAAGTGTTAAGGCAATTCAATCGGCAGTTTTTATTGTCACAAACCGCAAGCTCGTAACAATATTAATGCTAGTGTTCCACAAGGTTGCGTGCTATCACCAACGCTGTTTTTCTTCCGCATATCAATGATATGTTGCAAACCTGCAACATTCATTGCTATGCAGATGATAGCACTGGTGATGCTCTGTACACCGGCCGTGCCAATATTTCTCGAGAAAACGTCTCCGAGTACCGGGACAAACTTGTGTCTGAAGTCGAGTCTTTGCTAAACAAAGTCCCGGATTGGGGGCGACTAAATCTAGTCTAGTTTAACCCTCAGAAGACACAAGTTTGCGCGTTAACCGCTAAAAATAACCTCTGTCGCATCTCCCCAGTTTCAAGGCAGTCCCCTTGTTGCCTCTGCCAGTATCAGAATCCTCGGCGTCGACATATCGAGTGACGTGCAGTTTCGTGGTCACTTGGAAGAGAAGTCTAAATTGGCCTCAAAAAAGCTCGGCGTGCTCAGCAGAGCGAGACAGTATCTCATGCCGGCACACCGCCTGCAACTTTACTAGGCGCAGGTTCGGTCGCACATGGAATACTGTTCCGATCTCTGGGCTGGGGCTCATCAGTACCATCTCCTTCCACTTGACTGCATCGAGCGCAGGACAGCTCGAATCGCCGACGACCGAGTGCTTTCCGATTGGCTCGATTCACTGGCGCTGCGAAGAGATGTTGCATCTCTTTGCGTATTTTATCGCATCTATCACGGGGAGTGCTCTGAGGAATTGTTCGGATTAATCCCAGCCGCCAATTTTCATGAACGTACTACGCGGCAAACCTCCAGATATTTGGTGGTCCACCATTGTACGTTTCAAAAGGAGTTTTCTACCGCGTACGACCTCTCTGTGGAATAATTTACCACCGGCGATTTTTCCGGACCGATACGACCTAGGGACCTTCAAGAAAAGAGCTTACTCCTTTCTAAAGGGCCGGCAACGCACCTGCAATTCCACTGGTATTGAGGTTGTTCATGAGCTGCGGTAGTCACAACATCAGGTGTACCGTATGCTCGTTTGTCCCCTCTTCTAAAAAAACAAAAAAGGCTTGTGGAAAAGTTTTTCCACTAATCAATGTCTTCAATAGTTTGTAGGTACTGTTGTTTTCAATAAATAAAGTAACATTATACATCCGATGCAAAATTTTTATCTAGACTATCAAGAGATGAAGTATTAAAACCGTTTGAACTATGCCGTTTTTAAAGGGCTCTTTGAATTGCATGAGTTGTGTCTTCATAAGATTTATTACTATTTTCACAGTTATATTATTCAGAAAGTTCAGTCTGCAACGATGTTTGAACCAAAAATTACTCGTTCATTTGATCAGTTCTATATGATAATTATAAAACACGTTGCGAATATTGTTAAAAAAAAAAGTATAACTAATAGCAACCACAGTGGCCACAAAAAAATCTGTTTTTTGTAGCTATTGTAACTGTCCCGATTTTAAAACCAAATTCCTGATTTTATATGGACACATTATCGGAAACGATGAAGGCCCATCTACAGAATGAATATAATTCGCGTAATAAAACGCAAGGAATGATACTTTGTTAAATGATATTATTTAAATTAATTATATATAATTTTTCAAGTTTATTAGTTAATAGTAAGCAACTCATAACTAAAATAATTATCCCTATGAAAGATATATATGACGTCTCCGTGGCGAAGTGGCTTAGCAATGAGTTTAACTCTAAGGGCCGGGGGTTCGATTCCCGCACGGAACAAAAATTTGTAAACCTTCAAATAATTGTTTCGGATCTGGATGTTAGTCCTTGTGAAATTTCTGTTTTTATGTTAAATGCCTCCACAATATAATTAGGAAACATTCTTATTATGGAGGTAATGTTCTAATAAAATAGAAACAAAAAAAGATATGAGCCATGGCAGCTCAAGGGCGAAGTGCTCGCCGTAAACGCCAGCAACCTAGGTTCGATCCCTGCCGAAACAAACGAAATTGTTATTTAGATAAATTATCTTTACATTATGAAACAGAATAAATGTATATCGAACGAAATCTATTTTATATAATAAACATATTTTTCAATTCGAACATATATTACCCTTTCTAGTTGTTAACTTGGCGTTGTGACATTCCTTAGTCTACTCAATAGAGTAAAAATGAAAAACCGAGTTCAATTTACTAAAAGAATAAAATAATTTATACATATCAGCTTCCGATGTCAGGGTTAGATCGGATATTAATTTTCATATACACTATGCCTTAGCTCCGACCTCATAGGCTATTACGTGGAAATTATTTTATCCTTTTAGTTGCCATAGTATCAAGATGATTCGTGCTAGATACAAAAATCTTTGGATACAATTAGTAACCTTACGCTCGCTCCACCTCGAGCAGTTACGCACACAGAGAACATTGTATAGTTCGTGCCAAATCGATTGAGAAAAGCGGACGATGATCTCAGATATGAGCAGAGTGTCAAAAGGCGTAACTTCACAAAATCTCAATTTAGATGTGATAATAATATTTAAATATTGATATTTTTCAACTTCTAGGTCAGCACATATGTTTCGTTTCTTAAATAATATTGTCTGTGGTTCCTATAAAGATCGTAAAATCCTACGGTACATCACGAGAAACGTGTTATATTTTATATAGCACATTTTTTGCGCAACTATAGTTCGTGCCAAATCGATTGAGAAAAACGGATAATGACCTTTCGGTCGTTTAAACCAGGAGCTACAAACCTTCAATACATAGGCACTTTTTGTTTGTAGTACTTTCTTTATTCATAATTATTTTATTATTTTTTGTAATGATTGATATATTATATATTTATTAACTATTATTAAAAAGTTATGTAAAAGATCGCTGTAGAAGAAAAATTATCCATTGTTATAAAGTATTTATTCCTTTAACAACAAAAAGCATTAATTTATAACACATATAAAGATTCGAGTGATAACGACACCGAATAAGTACGTACTTATTCAAATTATAAAACTTTATTTTCAATATTATATAAGTTTATTTTTATTCGGTGCATGCGGACCGGCCGAAAAAAAGTGACGCATCTCTGGGTGCCATTGTCACGTTTCTTTTAGAACTTGTTTATTTTAAAATGATGAATTTGCATAGCTCAATATGGTGGTTATATTGCTTCAAATTTTTTTTTAATTACGAAACTGTTACTAAATGAATTGCTGCGTTACTTACCATAAATTTAAATATAAAATATAACACATTTTTCGCGATGTACCGTAAGATTTTACGATTTATAGGAATCACAGACAATACTACGAGTATTTAAGAAACAAAACATATGTGCTGACCTAGAAGTGTGACCTAGTTGTATAATTAAAATTAATTAATTGTGTATTACATATAGTATTCTGATTAGCCCAATATATTTACTGCTAAGATAAACCAAAATATCTAAAACTTATCAAGCTAAAACGAGTATAAAAATAGTTAGTACGTTCCGGCATAGTGACGTCAGCGTAGACCTGCGTTCCGACAAAACGCATACAGGATATTATATTTTTTAGGAACAAATAAAACGAATTGTTTTAAAAATGTAATTATTATAATATGATTAGTAATCCTGGTGTGACGAAAGCCGATGCTGATAAGATTATGGAAAAAAGTTACTAAAGTATACGAGTTGGTCATTATCAAAATCGGGTATAGACGACTACATAGTTATCTTATTACTAAAGCAGCAGTTCCAGTTTATGATAGTCAATCCAGCATTTTTCGACACATAAAAACACACGACTTTACTTTCTGTACGCCTTTTCTTTAGCTAAACATCGCACACAACGTCCTCGCTTATAACGCACCTTGCTGTTTCGGTCTTTGCCGTCGTTTTTTTAGTGTTCTGAATAGTGTTCAATATTATCCAAACTTATCTCGTGGAGTTCAGTTCTTGAAAAGGATGCGGCAGGCCTGATGCGCTGTATAATTGGACGCTGTTGTGATAATGCTTTAGCTAACAGGTATCGATATTCTCTATGAGTTTTATCACCATAAGTCTTGTAAATAATATATGTGTTTAAGATAGTAATGCTGATAAGTCTTCGAACCACTTTCTGATACCATTTTAAGCCAGGTTTTCGTTCCAATAAATACATGGAAAGTTTATGATCCTTAGAATCAACCCCACCCATCTGCTTATTGTAACTGTGGACCCCGACAGGCTTATTGCACGCAACACCTGCTCGTTGCCCTGGTGCCATGTCAATATTGTGATGAGTACTGATCCTCGTCACTAATTTAACGTCCTTCCAGGCTAAGACGGTTATATCTCCGCAGTGCCGACCGGCCATGTCTCCTCGCTTCACGTTACGTTCAATCAGACCTCTTATAACAAGGGGATTTCCTGTACGTTGCCGGTTCAGGGAGCCCAACCCATCAATGCCCTGTTTTTTAAGAACCGCGTCGGTTCTACATGTTGTAGTAATTGCCCATTACTAGACAGTGGCCTTTGTTTAGATAATCAGTAACCGTTAATCCATGCATTACTGGTGTTTGTGCAGACTGTCTTGTATTTTTTCCAGTACATATCATTTTTAGTAAATAGCCTGATTCCGATTCACAAATTTCGTAGCTTTTTATTCCAAAACGAGCTGCCTTTATGCGGATACATTGGATCCAAGATTTTTATCCCTTTTCATAATAATAATGATTCATCAAGGCGTGAATGCCGTTTTGGAACGTACATTTCCCGGAATTTTCTATTACAGTGTTCGAGAATCGGGGTTATTTTAAGGAGTTTGCGGTCATATCCGTGAGTCATCACGTCAAGATCATCATTATTAACAAAATGTAAAAACCATTAATAAATATTAAAAAAAAATGTATAAGTACAAAACTATTTTTGGACATTATTTGCCGAAAATGGGGCATTTCCAAAGTATCAGTTGTTCAATATTCATCTATGCGTCCTCTATAACAAACTCATAGCAAATTAAAACAAAAAAAACTAAACTTAAAAACTTCATTTAGACGTGCAATAGTCTGCCAAACGCATATTCATTTGTTTGATGCACTATTACTTGCATAATGTTGTTATCCCATACGGTTTTAAATACTAAAGGATCGGTAGATGATACTGTAGGTCCTGATTGTTCGGTAAATGATTCCAATACACCTGTAAATGTTTGGAAATCATCAGACCAAGAAAAACCATCCACGTTGCTTGGTGTAGTTTCTTCGTCAGTCGTTGATGTCATCTGATTCCAATATTTGTCTAAGAGGATCCTCAGTGATATCTTCATCGTCGCTTATTTCACTACCAGAGTCAATTGCTAAAACATCGCCAATGTATGAAGGAAAGATTTCGTCATCTGGATCATTAGCCTAAAACATTATTTGGTTGTTATTAATATTACTACGAAAGTTTACAAAAATTCTATAGCTACACATATTATGAAATTTACTTTGTCTGTTGCAAACAGAATTTTGCGACAGATGCTGCTCCTTCAATAAGATTGATGTAACAACAGAAGTGTTGTCAATATCTTCATTCTGAAAATATAATATTTGTTATAATCTTAAATACACATCTACCTACTTATTAGAAACGAGTTATTAGATATAATTTCTTTTTGCCATTAAGCACAGCGTAACCGACTTCAATCACCGCTGTTTCGAGAAAATGTTAGCAATCAAACCCTTAGGTATTTTGTCATGAAACTTTTATGAGAACACCTGGTACCCTATTAAGTACCCTTTCAAACAAAAAGAATTTTCCAATTTGGTTCAGAAGGCGTCTTCGAGTGACCGTGGAACATACAATTTAAAAAAAAACAACAACAAAATTTTCAAAATATTTTAAATAGAATTTTAACGACTTACGGAGGAAGGTTCAGGGTTTCCTTGCCCTTGAGTATAATTTAATCGCTGTATAATTTTCTCCAGTTTCAGCAACAGAAGTCTCCATAATATCGTTGATTCTTAACGCCCTTAGACATCCTGACTCGGTTCTTTTCAATAAAACTCTCATCAGATAAAATTTTAAGTTTTCCGTTTGGAGATTTATTGATTACCAGAGCCGGTATAATATTAGGTTGAGATGTAGAAATGTTTTCTTCGTTATCCATCTAGTAAAACAATTAATACTTATAAATAATAATCAAAATCTTTGCTTTCAATTATCTTCAATTTTAAGTACTTTGAATGAGATTTTATACCGATATTCCTACGAAAAAATTTATTAATTTAATTTAAAAAAATATGATAGGGAAAGTATATGCTGATTAGTATGTTCTTGTAATTTTTTCGTGTATATCTATGTACATCAAATAAACACAATTTTAATTTAAACTACATTAGACTACTAGAAGACATAAAAACATTGAGCGTTGATCTTCATTCTGGCAATAATAACAATAAAAAATTGAAACAGCCTGTATACGCGCCATATGTATGGCACTTTCACAACAAAAACTAAAGAGTGTTTTAATAAAGATTAATATCTAATTCGCAACCATCCGCATTAATTATATACAATGATGTGTCTTACCTGGATTGAAGATCACCTCCCGTCCTCCCTCAATTGCGTACACTAATCCCGCTTCCACTAGTCCCAGTAACACTACTCCCAACACCACTACTCCCGGCACCACTACTCCCAATACCACTATTCCAGTAAAGGCACATCATCGACGATAATACGACACGTGTTTCGCCTCTACACGAGGCATCTTCAGGAGATGTAGACTCTACGGCGGCTGACTGCCGTAGTCTCCTGCTGCCGTAGACATCTCGGTGGCGGGATTAGTGCATGCAATTGAGGCAGGGCGGGAGGTGCTCTGCAATCCAGGTAAGACATATCATTGTATTTAATTAATGAGGATGGTTGCGAATTAGATATAAATTTTTATTATAATGAATTTCTGCAAAGTAACGCCTGATTCTATCAATTATCTTAAAAAAGCGTGTTTTATAACACACTAAAAGATCAGTTAGACACGGCTCAGTAGTAATCACACTCAGAAGTATGTAACAAATATTACATATATTAAATAATCTGTAAAAGCGACACAAATAAATGCATAAATCGAAGTTGAAATACAGCCTTTTGTTCATGGGGTACTGAATGTATGAAATCAACTGATTTTATAATAGTTCTCCCTTTTTTTTTAATTGTATAAAATAATCACATATTTATACGTAAACTTAAAGATATACTTACTTTCTTAGCTTCTTTTAAATAAAAACAGCACAGTAAAATAGTTTTTGTTTGCAGTTAGACGTCCGAACGAGTAGTGACTTCAATAGCACTGAATATATTTCATTCCTAACTGAACTGAGTGAACTGATGTTTTCGATTCTTTCGTTTCTTCTCTCATTCATACAGATGTTTGTAAGCAAATAAAGACCTCATTTGCTTACATTTAGGCCTTTTTTTCGGACGCAGTCAACGTTGCGTTGCCCCGGCAGTTAAAACAAGATAATATATACGCGCAGTTCTACGTTCCGGCAAACAAAGGCTTGCTAAGCCACTCTGACACGGAGATAAAATAAAATAATAATATTATATCATTGATGATAATTTAAAAACATAACTCTGTCAAATATTATTAAAACCGTTCAGGTTTTTAAAGGACATTCCAGAGCTGACGTTAAATCGTTACAAACGTTTTTTTTCTGTTTTATCTCTAGATAATGACACTAATTTATTAAGATACAATCCATATCTACCACTGCCATGTTCCCAATTGAGTTTTACATAAATAAATTATATTATAAACTGGGAACGGCGAGTTTAGTTGAATAAAAGATTTGTTAATCTTAAGAGGATACCTTGAAAATAATATAGTTTTGGGGGCGTGGCTTATTCCTTTTTTGGTGAAGCGGTCCGTGAGGACGACTGAGGGAGTATCATGCCGGCTGTACACGCTCGTCGAGACACCACGAGACAGGCCTAGAGGTGAGCGTTATTTAACATTGCTCTTAAAAACTTTTAGCGTTTTTTTTTAGATATTATAAGATATATAGTTTTTTTGTGAATAAAAATTTAAAGTAAAAAATAAAAAAAAAAACAAATTTCCTCGCAACCTTCCGCTAAACAAATACAATGATGTGTCTTACCTGGATTGAAGAGCACCTCTCGCCCTCCCTCAATTACATGCACTAACTCTGTCACCACTAGTCCCAGCACCACTATTCCAGGTAAGACACACCATCGGCGACAATACGACACGTGTTTCGCCTCTACACGAGGCATCTTCAGGTAATGTAGACTCTACGGCGGCTGACAACTAAGTGAGCGGCGAGCCGAAACAGCTGCTATTTATACACGCCGACACAATCGCTCCCCACCAAAGTAGCGAGTGACCGCGCCGTGCGATAAACAAACCTGCTACTAATTATCATTATTGTTATGATTAATATTTTTAAATACTATTATTATTATTGTTTTATTGATATTATTATAGTTATTTATTATTATTAATCTTAATATTATTATTAAAGATTAGCCTTAAAGATGTTTAACAAAGGTGAATTAGAAACATTTGTTTGTTCATTCAGCAGTGCATAATTACCATTATTACTTTTTAAAATCTCCAACTGCTCCAGCACACACAGTCGCAGCCCCTTATTACAAGTATGTAACACTTCAAAGGAATGATCGCTAGCTAGGTTGTGTTCAGTGTCCAAGAGATGTTTAGCAAAATGGGATTTATCAGAATTGCAATTTCGGTACGCGGCCAAATGCTCTTTATAGCGCGTCCCGAAATTGCGACCAGTCTGACCCACGTAAACGGCGTGGCATTCGTCACAAACAAGTTTATAAACACCCGATTTTTGACTAATATTTAACTTATCTTTATTATTACAAATATTCCTAAGCGAATTGTTTGTTTTGAATGCCACGTTAACGCCGTTTTTCTTAAGAGTATTAGCTATTTTTTCCGATACGGAGCCTAAGTAGGTCAAACTACCCACATATCGCCGGACACTTTGAGATCAAACCGCGTACAAAGAATTGCGAACAACATGCTTTTGTTTCTTTTTAATAAGATTATTAATGAGACTTTTTGAAAAACCGTTAGAGACTGCAATTTGATAAATTATATTAAGTTCTTTTAAATAATTTTATTTACTTAATGGAACAGTGAACAGACGGTTAATGTAACAATAAAAAGCGGCTAATTTATGTTGCCATGGATGACAGGATGACGCGGGGATGACCGTGTCGGTATGAGTTGGCTTTCGATAAATTTGAAAAAGAAAATGTATGTAGCGTTGCCAGGCGTCCGGATAAAGCCGGATACAGTCAGTCTTTTTGATTGCGTGTCCGGCCAAATTAGACGGTGGC